TTTCTAGATATCTTTCCATGTTAACCCTGTCTCTAGCTAAGACTTCGATCTGGAGGGGATCACCCTTATCGTTCCAAGTGGGCCTTTCCTCTTCCTCGCTCCTCGCTACCTATAACCGATGTAAGATAGCTGCTGCTTCTTTGTCCAGACCTCGACCTAGAGGCGGCCTCACTACTGCTTCCCTCATTGGAGGATTCTCCCTTTTTAGCTTCAGAGATAGAGGCGGCCTCTTCACCGCCTCCATTATCAAACCCCAAGATTCCATCGCTAGGGGTGCTCGGGGTACCTCCAGGGGATTCCCTTGTCATCTCAACCTGGTTCATCTCAAGCGGCTTTTCTTCGGAGCTTTCTCCTTTATACTCCGGGTCCGCAGCCGTCTTTCTGGTTCGAGCCATAGTGTCCTACACAGACACGGAGACGGTCGGATGGGGAGATGGACAAGGGGAATCCCAATACCCAGAGGCGGCTCCCCCAGTCCTAGACTCAGCCGTACCAGGGGACCGGTTGCCCTCTAAATTGTGGTGTGTCGTGTGTGTAGTTGGTGAATCCATTTATTTTTAAAAGAGAAAAATACACAAACGAAAATACATGAAAGAGCTGAGGGAGGTAGAGACGGTACCTCAAAAATAAGCTGAAAAAACAAAGTGCCGACCGGCTAAGCTAGCAAGCGAAAATCAATTGATGGCTTGCAAGGGGCACAGGTGCTTGACCGGATGTACCCTCTGGAAAACCAGGTGTATCTGCTTGGGGGTACTCGAGCGGTCTTTGGAAGTTTGAACTAGTTGATGCATAGACGGTATACCCGTATGTGCCTCTGAAAATTAAAGAAATTGCTTGCAAACCCCTCAAACGGTTTTCAAGAAGCTGTGTTGTCTGACAATCACAGACGTCTTACTGGATGTGTTTACAGGCAGGAGCAGGCGGGTTTTCCCTACGATTCTCTTTGGAAGCCGGTTGACTCTCTCTTTCTAAACTTTGGAAAATGTCCAAATGAAGGGGGTGAACGGTTATATAAAGGAGGGTAATGCGAAGGGGCATCCTTGCAACTCCCTTGGAAGGTGAATGGTTATTATCGTCAGCCAATGATCGAGTGACAAGTGTCACAGATGCCACGTGGCATGCCACGTCACATCTGTAAGGGGCAAATGTTTAGGGTAAAAATACCCTATGCCACATGGACCAATCAGCGTGTGACATGTGTCACCTTCAGAGTGGTTCATAAGAACTAATCCCCTCTGGACACGTGGCACGCACTTCAAGACCCTATAAATAGGGAGATGTTTCCCCATTGGTAACAATTCAAATTCAATTCCAAAAAACTGAGCATATTAATTGCAGATCATTTACTCCCGATCTCGTAATTCGAGAGGATTCTTAACTTCCGCATTTATTACAGACTCCATACCCGTTCTAACTTGATCGTTGGAGGCGGAACTCCCCCAACCAGAGTCTCCGTCATTTTGCAGGTACAGACGTTTGGATTCCAGTCTTAGTGTTGTAACTCTTCCGAAGGACACAGAAAACCTCGAAACATGTGTGGTGTGTAAAATAAAAGGGGAGGGAGAAAATTAAGTGAGAGAAAATAAGAGGAAAGAAAGAGAGAGTTTACCTTTGGGTATTCTTCACCTTGGGCAAGATCTAACTTGCTCATAAGATGGGTATTTATACCCCCTCTCAAAACCCTCCTAACTTTAAATTCCCTTTCTACCCTTAATGATCCCTTCTCCTATTCAAACTAGTTATTTGACTTCCTTTAAAATTCCATTGACTTTAAATCTTCCTTTTATAAAATAATATGCCCCAAAGTTTCTAAATAATAAAATAAATATTTTCAAAGCAATTAAATAAATAAAAATGGACCTTTAATTAAAATAAAACTTTTTAAATTAATAAAATACCATAAATAATTCATTTCAAATTATGTAAAAACTTCATAAAATAATGATTTAAATTAAAATACGTATAAAAATACGGGGTATTACATGGCCACATTGTGTGGCCGGGGTTACTCGATTTACTCCTAACCGGATAACCCCTGACCAAACCCCTCAAGTAACTCCTAATCGAGTAACTCAAGTAACCCCTGACCGAATAACTCGAGTAACCCCTAACCGAGTAAACCTCAAGTGACCCCAGACCGAGTAACCCTTGACCGAATAACTCGAGTAACCCCTAACCGAGTAAACCCTCAAGTAACCCCTGACTGAGTAACCCCTTAATTAATCCCTCGAGTAATCCCTGACCAAACCCCTCAAGTAACCCCTGATTGAGTAACCCTTGACCGAACCCTTCATGTAACCCCTGACAGAAAAAACTCGGGTAACCCCTTACTGGAGAACTCGAGTAATTAACCCCTGTTCGAGTAACTCGAGTAACCCTTGCCACACAGTGTGGCCGGCCACATATAAAAAAATGCCAATTATTTTATGTTTACTTTTTTATCCTAATGAAATCTATTCGATCTAATCTAACGTGTCATCTAAACTTATCATAATAATATATGATCTATTTGTCGCCTACATGGCTCGACACTTCGAAAACAAATGGAGTGCTAAGTGTTGCTATCTCATGGCCTGGTTGCGAGATCGACTTTATTTATTAGTGATATGATTCTAGTTTTGTGCCCGGGCGATGCTCGAATTATTGATAAAATTGTAGGATAAACTTTTGGCTTGAATGTTCATTAATAAGGTCATGCAATGTAGGATATTTAGACATACGATATCCTATCGCTTATTTATAGAATAGTGTACTTTTTGTAGTTTTGTTGGTAAATAGATATCTATGTTATTATTGGTTTGAAATTATTGTTATTAAACTTAATTTATTTTTACTAAAAGTATTTTTACCAAACCAAAATTGTTTTCTATTGATTCTCTATTATTCTTTTAACTAAATTAAATATACGTAATATTATAAATGGATCTTATTTTAAAGAACTTTTTGAAACGAATTTTATGATGAAAATAAAACCGAGTAAAAGAATATTTATTAAAAGTTATGATTAATTTTATATATATGAAACATTAGAGGTATATCGATAATAAAACTCTATACAATATTTTTATCTAAAAAAATATATCCATTATCATCATATATGTCACAATAATACGTATTTGTCGCCTACGTGGCACAACACTTGGTGAAAAACTGAAATGCCAAGTGTTGATACCTCGTGGCCTGGCTGCGAGACCGGCTTTATTTATTCATGACTAGTTTTGTGCCTGATGCCCAGATGGTTGATAAAATTTAAAACAACATCTTTACTTAAATGTTAAATACGGTCAAATAATTCGTTCTGATAATGTAAGATATTTAGACTTACGATATCATATGGAGTGTACTTTGTGTAGTTTTGTTTGTAAATAGATATCTATGTTATTGACTTGAAATTATTTTTATTGAACTTAAATTATTTTCACTGAACTGAAAGTATTTTTACCAATCTAAAATTATTTTTACTGATTAAAACTTATATTACTTATTCTCTAATATTTTTTAAAATAAATTAAATAACAATGCATTTTGTATGCGGCTAATCACACCATCTTGGCCAAACAAAGTAACTCCTATAAAACTGATCGAGTAATCCATGTAATACTACCCCGATCTATAACACTAATTGAGTAACCACTATAACACTTACCAAGTAACCCCTATAGCATTAACGAATTAACTCTGATCTTGTAATAGTTGGTGACACGGTTAGCCAGCTACATATAAAAGTTGTGATTAAATATATTATAAATGGATTTTATTTTAAAGAACTTTTTAAAACGAATTTAATGTTGGAAATAGAATTGAGTTATAGGATTAAAAGTTATGATTAATTTTGTATATATGAAATATTAGTATTTTATCGATAATAAAACTCTATGCAACAATTTTATCTTAAAAAATCTATCTAAAAATTGCTTACTTAGTATCATATGAGTCACAATAATACCTAGTTTTGTGCCCGGACGATGCCCAGATGGTTGATAAAATTTTAAGACAACATTTTTACTTGAATGTTAAATACGGTCAAATAATTCGTTATGATAATGTAGGATATTTAGTCATACGATATCATATGGAGTGTACTTTGTATAGTTTTGTTCGTAATTAGATATCTATGCTATTATTGACTTGAAATTATTTTTATTGAACTTAAATATTTTTACTGAACTGAAAATATTTTTACATAACTAAAATTATTTTTACTGATTAAAACTTATTTTTACTGATTCACTAATATTTTTGTAAATAAATTAAATAACAATGCATTTGTATGCGGTTAACCACACCATCTGGCTGGACAAAGTAACCCCTATAAAACTGATCGAGTAACCCCATGTAATACTGAGTAACCTCTAACACTGACTAAGTAACCCCTATCTATAACACTTATTAAGTAACCGCTATAAACTGACCAAGTAACCCCTATAGCACTAACGAAGTAACTCTAATCTTATAATAGTTGGTGACACAGTTTGGCCAGTTACGTATAAATGTTTGTGATTAAATATATTATAAATGGATCTTATTTAAGGGATTTTTTAAAAACGAATTTAATGATAGAAATAGAATTGAGTTATACGATATTTATTAAAAGTTATGATTAATTTTGTATATATGAAATTTTAGAATTTTACCGATAATAAAACTCTGTACAACAATTTTATCTTAAAAAATCTATCAAAAAATCGCTCACTTAGCATCATACGTGTCACAATGATACCTATTTAACGCCTACGTGGCGCGACACTTGACGAAAAATTGAAATGCCTAATGTCGCTGTCAGACCACGAGACCGACTTTATTTATTAGTAATATATAATATGACTTGACTTGTATAAACATAATAATTTATCAGATATCTTCAAAGAGATTAAACATAACAATTTAGAATAACTCAAAGTTCAATTTAATTCGACCTACCGGACACGAATCGACACCACTTTCTAAATGAAAATCGTCCTACAACCCTTGGTATACGCGGGAAAGAAACCTAACTCACCGAAGCGCTAACAATATTCAATTAAACAGTCGAATTCAATTATTTTAGTTATGTTTTTTTTTTCCTTCCCTTTCTTCAGTCGTGCTTCCAACTACATCACCTCACCTCTACTCTCTCTCTCTCCTCCTTTTTCACCCATGAAGAACCAACGACTACTTCTCCATTTCTCACCATCATTCTCCATTGAAATCCCTTCCTCATTTCTCTCTCTTCCCTTTTCAATCCTTAACGGGGGAGACATTTGAGGTAGAAGACTGAGAAATTCCATCAATGGCGACCCAGAAATCGGGTAAGGAGAGGCAAACATGGCAGACTACATCACCTTCGTCATCGTCCTCATCATCGTCAAATGTATCGGGTAATTCTCTTAATAAAAGTGCTAATGGTCCTATAATCCATCAATCCAATCGATCTAAGGCGCCTGCTACGGCGAAACGGTCCGTAACCCCGAATTCTAGGGCTCATGATTCGAAACGCTCTGTTACTCCGGTTCCGAGAAGTCATAACAATGCCGGAGATGTTGATTTTATCAAAGCACCAAACACCAAGCGCCCTGTTACTCCTCTTAATAGAAGCAATTCTATTGTTGCTCATGACCCAGGTTCGTTCCTAATTTGCCAATGCAAAAATTCAACTATAAATTGAACTATCTCAGTAACTAAAAATTATCGGAGTACAAATTTAGGTATCTTGAAAATCCCATGTCATTATACTTTTTCTGTCTATGAATCACGAAAGCTAATCAAAGTAGGGTGAGAAGTATGTTTTTTAGGCGGATAAATGGATAAATTTCCTAAAATTTGGTTATTATCAAATACGTTTTATTGGAGTCGTATTAAGTTGAGAATATATGACATAATCTCGTTTAATTGGGCGGTATTAATTGATTATTTCTTTTGTACTCTAGGATAGACTTTATATGATGCTTAATCATAGCTAAATGTAACTTATTTTTTTAATTATCCATACTTATAGTTAGGTTAAATGATTGATTGGTTTTTTTTTATATAAATGAGCGCAATACGAATTACAAATGAGAGTGGGGGATTCAGTGTTAACCACTTGGTCAAGACCTCATTAGTTAAATGATTGAATTGTTGATAACCATTTAATATGTCAACTTTGAAGGAATTGTATAAACCATTTAATAAGTTTTGCCAAATGTTGTGAGTTAAATGTACAAGAATAATATCAATCTTTGTGATTTTACTTTGCTTATTACTTTGTACTTTGTATTAATAGTGTTATAATAGAGTCAGGATGATGATAATCATAGCGTTGATAAAAGATCTTGATTATCAAATTTTTGTTTTTTTTGTTGTTCTTTCCTATTGCTCAATTCTCTCTCTATCTTTTTTTTCCTTGATGTTCATGATCTTGACTTCTTGAGTTCAAAAACTAATGAGCACGGCCAACTCTTTTGATATTTGCTTTTCTAAAAGCCTTGTATCAAGCTAGATTATTGTTTGTGTCGATCATCTTGGATTATTGATCAACATGTAGTAGTTTAATTTAGTCGAATAAGGAATTTCAATGCAAGCTATAATAGTTCACATGAAGAACCGGACAATTTGAATAAGTTTGAGAGATATTAATGGACAAAAGAATTGGATATTTGCATTCATGGACAATAGCTTTGTTTGATTTATTTATTTATCTTTTTTTTGGTGGGGAGAGGGAGGGTAGAAGCTTGCACCCCATGGAGAATCAGACTATTATGGTCAAGTTTAGTGGAAAGGAACTAAATGAAGATTTGGACCAATTTTGGGAAAAGAAATACGTTGTAAAATATTTGCAAAAGTGGACAATAGTTATGTATCATTATTCATGGATTAAGGATTTGAATGTTTGCACTAAAATAAATGAATAGCTAAAAATAAGAGGGAGGGGGTGGGGAGGATCTTGCCTCATATGGAGAGAAATAAAAGGAAGCAAACAACTATTATTTATGGATTAAGGGACTACAATGCATGAACCATAGCTTTGAATTAGTTGGGGGTGGGGGGGGGGGGGGGGTGGGTTTTGGAGCTTTTAGAACTTTTGTAAAATTGAAGTTCAATAACTTTATATATCATTTTAGTTGCGTATGCTTTAAAACTTTGTTAAATCTAGGGTTTTTGATACAACTTTAATCTTTGAGAAATTCTTTTTCATTGTATATAGGGAAATTTTGGATGATAATCAAATTATTTGAATAGGGAAGCAGGACTTGCATGAAATGGGATTTTGTTTTCTTTTTTTCCTTCGTTTTACTGAACTAGCTTTAATACTTCCCATTTCAGAACCCGGAAGAGTCAGAGTGGCTGTTAGGCTTCGGCCAAGAAATGATGAAGATCTTGCTTCAGATGCAGATTTTGCTGATTGTGTTGAATTATTACCTGAGGTGATTATTTCTCCTCTTCTTTTTTTTTCAAGAATTTAATGATTTTAATATGAAAGGCTTTGTTTTATTAGCCTATTCTGTCTTTCTTTCCTTTCTTTCCATAACTAAATTAGATTGTGTTTGGGAAACCTGAAATTAATGTTGATTAGTTGAATTTAATACAAGAAATATAAATATTGATTTTCATTGTCGTTTTTAATGTTTGGAGAACATCTGGATTTTAAATTCCTAAACTTGTAAATTTATCTGTAACCTAGTACTAAAATTTAAATCACAAACTTTTCTTTCGTTACTTTCTCCACTCCTGCTCTAGCTTCAGTGTCATCTTCTAAGAAAATCCCTCCACTTGCAGGCTATGAAGTTGCCAACTTTGTTAAAACCAAACTCCTAATATAAACCCTGCCAGCTTCGTACTTAATTTTAAAAAGCGCTCCTATGCACAAGACACAATCCGACGCGAGAGCTGGCGTCTCAGTTCTGTGAGGCGCATAGACCTATAAAAGAGCACACCTATGCACTTTTTCTAGACTGCTTTGTGAGCCTTCACAATTTATGTCGCGTCTTATGTTGTAAGACGTCAATAGCTAATGTGTACGATAAAGCTTGTACAAAAAACACCACGTGACTTTGTGGCGGTCAGGTTTACTTTAGTTCTAGAGGAGAGATGAAATTCGTATCCCCCAATTTCATTTGAAGAACCCTAGGTCCCTAGCCATTGATCTCATGGTCCATACCTTATTTCAGAATTCTTTTTTTGCCTTATTAAATAAATATTAATATCTTTTCTTATATAAATAAGTTGCACCTCACCTACAAAAGGCGCGTGATTTTGCCTTGCACCTAGACCCAAGGAATTTTGCCCCTTGGTGCACCTTGCGCCCTTTAAAACTAAGGCTTCATATTTCTAGATATATATATACTCAGAAGACGAAGTTGGGAGGATAAAATGGTGAAGATTTGATGCTTAAAGGGTAAAATATTTTGAATCTTTGTGCATGGACTTAGAGAACTGTAACATAGAGAGAAAGGTAGACGTGGAGAGATTCAGAGGGGAAGGATGACAAATCTGTACCTGACTTGATCACCAAAATTTTTCATTGCTTGATGGATTGATAACCATGGAAAAGGATCAATTCAATAAATAGTCAATTGCCTAGGATTTTGGAAATTGATGAGGCTGCTGTGATTTTGTGACCTGTAATACTTGTTATGGTCAAGAGCCAAATATTGATTTAATGAGAGATACAAACATCTTTAATCACTATTTCTTATGATCTCTCTATTTTCTCCACCAGTAATTTTTTATAAAAATTCTGGTCTTTTGCCCACCAGACCATGTTCTGCTTCTTGGAACAAGTGCCCTCCCCCCAACACACACATTTCCCAACTGTTATTTTATTAATTTGAGACTTTGAGTGAGGTTACAGTTTATGCTTTTCAGAAATTTTAATTGCTGGTAATGGGCAAAGATGGTGAGATGCTTGGTAGAATTTATGAATTCCTTTCTGTAGCTTCTATTATTTACTTTCTTATAAAGGCTTATGTAGAACCCTATTAGTTACTGTACTTGCTTTGAATGATTTGGATTTTAGAACTAATGTATCTACATACCTGTGTCCATACTAATCATAAGTCCCCAACCTACAATTTGAGCTTTCATAATTTGGACACCCGGGTACTTACCCGTGCCTGATAGTGTAATGTAGGCACATACAAAACTTGTACATAAAGCTAGCCTAGCCTAGAAATTGAATTCCGTAAATGAGCCTTGCTGGGGATATCTTAATTGCTGGTCATTTCTGGAATTTCTTTGTGCATTTTATAGTTTGTTTAGCAGTTCTTTTATGCCAGATCTTTAGGGCACATATTATGCCTTGTTGATTTGGGGAGATTTGCATTCACATGTTTCTGTATTGTTTTTTGGCTGATTAAATATTAATATTATTACTATTTTTTCTTACCAAATTCCAATCTTACTAGGGCTCAAACATGTGAGGTTGTAGGGAGGGAGTGAATCTGCCCAGCCTCTATGTTTACACATTTCTGCTTTTGTATGGTTGTGGTGGAAGGGGAGTCCATTAGTTTCTGCTTCTATAGCCTTTTTGTGGATAACATGCGGTGAGGAATGATATGGTTCTTGAAGGATCTCTGGTCAATTGGTTGTTGTTATTTGACAGTTCTTGATCATATGCTTCATGTACTTTTGGGGGTAGTTATTTGACAGTTCTTTGACAGTTCTTGATCATATGCTTCATGTACTTTTGGGGGTAGTTGTATTGTAGTATTGTTGTATTGAATGTCGTTTCTGCACTCTTCTTTGCTCTCCCTTTTGTTTTATTGGATGCCTTCTTTTTTGTAAAGCTTTTTTGGCATGTCAATAACCTCTTGCTCCTATTAATGAAAAAGGAAAAAGTCTAGAGTCACTTGTTGCTTCATTATTTGGCAGTCTGCGGTGCAATTTTGGCTGGGTGGTTTACTGATTAATTGTTCTTTATTAATGCAGCTAAAGAAACTGAGTTTGAAGAAAAACAACTGGAGTTCCGAATCTTATAAATTTGATGAAGTATTTACTGAATCTGCTTCCCAAAAGCGCATTTATGAAGTTGTAGCAAAACCTGTTGTTGAGGTAATATATTGTTCTAGTCGACTTTAGTACTGTTTCTCACTAACAGAGTAACAGGTAACTTTTATACATCTGTTGGAGTGTTATGTAACTTCCATATTTCATGCCAAAATTATATCATTATTAATGATTTAATTTCCTAATTTTTATAAACGAACTTTCTCATTCCCATCTAATATTTTATTATATATCTTGGAAATTTGACAAAATCTATTCTATAAATAGAAAAATCTGTATACACTGTAAACTTCATAAAGATCAACTTTGCGAGGGTTGTTTTTTTTCATGTTGGACAACTTAGGCTACTACACTTTTGAAATATAGGGAGTTTATGTAGTTTTCGTGTGCTCTTCATATGTGCTACAGAGTAGTTACTTTTATCAATGTGCAGTGTCTAAGCCACTGGAATTCAGATTTTGATTTCCTCCTTGAACTAGCAAAGTGATTTTCTATTATGAGTATTTTTTTGAAAGGTTTGTTTCTCTTCATATATGATTTTTAATTGATTATATTTAATTATCCACATGCTTGGCAGAGTGTGTTGAGTGGCTATAATGGGACAATTATGGCTTACGGTCAGACAGGTACTGGGAAGACTTACACTGTTGGCAACCTAGGCAAAAATGATGCATCAGAGCGTGGCATCATTGTTAGAGCTGTAGAAGACTTAATTGCAAATACATCTCTTTCTAATGAGAGCGTGGAGTTCTCCTACGTACAGGTATTTGACTGCTCTATGTTTTAGAGGGTTATAAGTTGCTGATCCTAATGTATTATAGTAATGGATTAGCATGTATAGTTTGGGGTACTGGCAAATTGGCAATAGCTTTGCTTGCTTAAGTTTTGATATTGGTTAGCAGTAGCGTGGGATTGTTGTGAACACTAATACTAAAAAATGTGACTAGTCATGGTGCCACTTCTATTTTATTTCCTTTTTTTTTTTTTAAATTATCTCTCCTCTCACATCCCTTACTTTTTTTTATAAACTACTACCCCACTATCTCTTTTCTTATTATTTTTTGAATACCCAACAAATCTCACTTACACAGTATTATACTCCATTCAACTCACCTTCCTAAAACTTCTTGCCAGTCAACCCGATGCACTTTAAAAAAACCAGTGGAACTAATTAGTTAATTAATTATAATTGCAATTCTTGGTATATAGTGCTCCCCCAGATGCCACTACTGATATGGCCTATTGAGAATTCTAATAGCATATCTATTCTCTACCATTTTAGCTGTTACTCATTTTTCGTTTATTTACTCTAGCTGTACATGGAAACAATTCAAGATCTACTTGCACCTGAGAAGGTTAATATTCCGGTTGTTGAGGATGCTAAAACCGGGGAGGTGTTGTTGCCCGGTGCTTCAGTGATTAAAATTCATCATCTTGATCACTTTATGGAACTGCTTCAATGTGGTGAGGCAAATCGCCATGCTGCAAATACCAAGCTCAACACAAGCTCTTCGCGCAGTCATGCTATATTAATGGTGAGAATTATTTTAAAGTTGTTTCTTTGTTACTTATCTCTTTTCTTCCATTTTACATATTACTTGCTGTTTTTGTGTCTGCTTCAGGTTTCTGTTAAAAGGCCCATTGTTGGGAAAGGTAAAAATGTTACTTGTGAAAAAGTGGCTGCTACTGAAGCACAGAGTGATATGGGCGTAGATAAGATACGAAAAGGCAAGCTGCTAATTGTGGATCTTGCTGGATCTGAAAGGATTGACAAATCCGGTAAGTTGGTAGTGGGTGTTTTTATATTATGTTAGCCAAAAAGGTATTGTGTTTGATAAAATCTAGTATCTGTGAAAGCATCTTTTGTAACTTGAACTTTTAGTTCCTTTAAATATATATTCTGACTGTTTCTCTTTCTATAAGTATTGTACTATCAGCCCCGTCAGAAAAAAAAAAAATTTAAAAAAGAAGAAACTGAGATAAGTAATGGTGTATGATGATAGCATGCAACTGACTTGATGATTGTTATCTTTGAAGCTAATGGTCAGATCATACTGTTCTTTCTAAAATCTTAGCACCTTGTTTATTCATTAACTTATTTTTTCATGACAGGCAGTGAAGGACTATTGCTTGAGGAGGCTAAATTTATCAATCTCTCTCTCACTGCGTTGGGAAAATGCATAAATGCATTGGCTGAAAGCAGTCCTCATATCCCAACTCGAGATTCCAAGTTAACAAGGATTTTGCGTGATTCATTTGGGGGTAAATCTAAAAATCCTTACTAAATCTACATGTATGGGACTTAGTGGTATATGCTGGATACTTTCTCTGTCCTGAATCACCTGCTCAAAAAGTTAAGTCTAAGTAAGCAATCTTTGGCCATTGGTAATCACCCCCCCCCCCAAGTAGGGCTACCTGCAATAAGCTTTCACATGTTTGCTCTTTACTGAAATAAAATTCTTATTTGGGATGTCCCACATTTCTACATTTGTGTTTTAACTCATTGTCTTGGGCCTTCTCTGTTTTCATTTGATATTCTGTTGTTTAGTATTTCCCCTACTTTTATATTGTTTCCACATGTAGGAGATGCACTTTTTTTCAGGAGTTCATGTTTAAAGGAGAGAGACAGAGTGAGGGACCCATGTAATAAGAAGAGAGATCTAGCGAATCCATTGCCAATTTAGTAATGTTGTTATGAATATGCATCTTCCAAATAATGGAAATGTTGCAATAAATATACAGAGGAAGTGTATTAGTGTAGAAGGTTGTTTACCAAATTCACTGAATCTTTACATTACATATACTTCATTAAATTCTAAATGCCTTTTCCAAATTTTGATGTAGCAGACAGTTGTCGTTTTGAATCAAGAATTAAATGAGAACATCCTCTGTGTTATCACAAGGGTATGTTTATGTTCATATGGGCACCCCTACCTTGCCTTGGGTAGGAAGTAATCTTATGTTGATGGTGTTGAGTTTGATTAAGTGCTTTAAATTATCTCCTTGAAAAGAAGGCAGAGAAAGCAAAGTAGTCACCAAAGTTTTATACCTACTCTAACATCAAAAGCCAAGGAAAAGTTGGTGGAAAGTGGGTCATAGTGAAATCATATAGTATAATAATATAAGTGGATCATGTGGTGGGCTAAGGAAGGTAAGAGAGAATTTCTTTGGCCACCAAAGGAATCTAGCGAAAGTAGGAAGGTAAAAAAGAACACCCTAGAACGGAAAGCAGGAAGATAAATATAATGGAGGGAGTATCATGCAATCTCTTTGACTTGTCGTATTGTCCGTCAGAACTGATCTTGTAATCCTACTATGATATTGCTTGTCCTAATTTTGGTGTGCATCTTTGTTGAATAGGCTCTGCTAGGACCTCTTTAATAATTACAATTGGGCCTTCAGCACGTCATCATGCAGAAACAACTAGCACAATAATGTTTGGGCAAAGAGTAAGTAACTTCTCTGATATTATGGTTCAAAATTTCATGGAGCACAGATGTCTGTTTGATACCTGCTCTTGAGTTTTTCTTTTTGTTTAGAGATTTATATAAGCTTCTTCAACTGTACTAGCTAGATTTACTGGCTAACGTCGGTGAGAACTTTCAATCTTCTTGATTATTACATGGTGGCATGCTTTCTTAAAACTGTGGTGAACTGATTACTTTGATTTTGAAAAAAAAAAAAATCAATGCTTATGTGTCTTAAATAATCTTTTGAAGACAGATGGCTTATCTCTTACTTGTGTGTCTGGTCTTCAGATGGTCTGGTACAGTGTTGTTAATAATTACAAATTTTTTAATGTTTGCATGAGACAAATTTGGATGATGTGTCTCATCTGAAAGTTGATTGCTTTGGCAAATAAGTATTTTCTCTGCATGCTTCCTAATGTACCTTGTAGTTAAATTTTTCTTCCATTTCAATGGATGATGACTGCTTATTGCCATTGTAATGAATGCTCTCTAATATGATACTCATCATTGTTTAGTCACTTATGGGATTATGTAATTTTGAAACTGTGCTCTGTGGGAGGGAGATAGCTTCTCAGGTTATGCTCTTTGCCTAAATTCCCTCTTGTGTGAATTTTGGTCCGATATAACTTTTATTGAAATCACTAGCCTTTATTTAAACTTACTTAAGTTGTGATTTAAATTTTTTTAGTCCTCATCCAGATTTTTCAGAAATGGTCTGAATTATAAGCCCTAATTTGAACTTCTCAACTCAATAAACCTGAATGCCAGGCTGTTTCCCTCTCTTTGTGTGTGTGTGTGTATGTGTGTGTTTGTTTGTTCTCAATAACTATGCCATTTTCACATTGGTTCTTCTATAAGAGCTCTTTGTTGTTTGTTGTGATTTCAGGCTATGAAGGTAGTAAATGTAATGAAGGTGAAAGAAGAATTTGATTACGAGAGGCTTTCCAGAAAGCTTGAAAGCCAAGTCGACCATCTTACTGAAGAAATTGATAGGCAACAAAAGATGAGAGACAAATATAAAAATGAAATGGAGAAGAAGATCAAAGAGTTTCAACGTTCATCCGCTGAGGAAGAAAAGAGGCTAATTGCAAGGTCTGAGGTAGTTTCCTTGTCTTTTATATTCTTATTACTGTTGTTTCCTAATAGTCTCATGAGATCCATCAATGATTTTTCCATCACCTTTTAGACTGAATTGTATTGATTTTGTTCTGTCTTATTTATAGTATCAGATTTACTCATTTGTTTGTAGATCCTAGAGAAGGAAAATGCTCGTTTGGAGCAGGATATGAAAGCTATGTTGGATGAATTAAATCATCAGAAAGAGTATAATAAATTATTGCATGATGAAGTGGCACGTCTAGAAATGGGTATAGAACAATACAAGGTATCTCCTTTGACTTCTATTCATTTAGTCCAATTGTCACAATTTTAATGATTATTTACTATTTGTTTCCTTTCAAATGACATTTTATTGACTAAGTGTGATTTGCTGTATTTGTACTTTATATTTTCCTTTGGGGTGGTCATTGTATGTATTGTGGAGGTTGAGGCTTTGGAAGTATAAACAATTTGCGTATAAATATTAAGGGAATGAAATATAATATGGAAGAACAACTTATGAGAGTAAATATTTTGTCTATTTGAGAAACTCTCATGGATTAACTCCAACATGATATTAAAGAACTATATATCTTTTAAGCTTTCCCAACAAGCTTTTGTAAATGACTATTTTCTCTTTGGGACTTATCATAAGCCTTGTTTAAGATGATTGCATCACTTGCATGTCCGCGTTGTTGGTGAAGGTTGAAGTGTCCATGCCCATTTGGAGTTCCAGGTATCGGATATGGATACTTGAGCTGAAATGATGAATGGTTATTAAGATATATTATAGTCATTGAGTTGGCGTTTCCATGTTCCAAGTATAGTGTAACTTTCATCCTCTTGCACGCCTCAATTATTCCCTCAGTAATAAGTGTAAATAGTTTATCATCGATCTAATAAATCTTTGGTTCATGAGCTATACTGATTTTAATCTATTGTTGTAGCAAAATCATCAAGAAAACTCGACATACCAGAAAGCTCTTGCAGACACTACTCAGATGTATGAAAACCAAATAGCAGCATTGATTGAGCAGTTGAAGGATGAGCAAGCTCGCTATGAAAGAGCTGGAAATCAATCAGATGTCTTGAAGGCGCTTTTGAGTGATCACGAGGGCTCCATGAAGGTCAGTTGCTTTTCCTTTTGATTGCCACACCATAGGGTGGGAGGGGATTAGATTTAAACAATCTGATTTATACAATTGCAAAGACTTTATTGGTAGATCCTTGGTTCAGAAGAAAATTGACTTTTTAACTTCTTCACAGCTGATAACATATATAGGACTGCCAATTGCAATTAGTCTCATTACAGCCCAAAATTTACTATTTTCTGTTAACATATCTGTTTTTTAATTTTATTGTGACATGTAAGCACTGATTGCTCCCATCTCTGACTCCTTTATTTACATTTTCCAAATTCGATGTTTTCTTTCTGCTGGGAATTGCTATAATACTGAGAATTACATTCTAATATATGGGTTTACAAAGCGATTTCTAGCCATATTTTAGTTTGTGTTGAGTATACTTTTAGGGCCTTATTTTCTATTTTTTTTTTTCGAACTCCTGCCATTTCAATATTAATATTCATTTTCAGTTTTTATAATGATAATACAGGTATGCAACTGTATATTTCATTTGGTTGTATGTACTCTCAATTTTCGGCATGCTAATTTTGCTGCTTGAAATATCAATTTTTCTATACTATCTCTTTTGCAATCTATGATACTAATGTACCTCATGACTAATGTTGGGTTTTTTTTTCTTAGTAGCTATTTCAAACAGAAAATTCCAAACTGAAGAAGGAGCTGCTTGATGCCAAGGAAACTCATGAGAAGGCTATAGCAGAGTTACGTAAAAAATTAGATGACATGTATTTTCGTTGTGAACATGCTGAGAAGCAAGTGGACTCTCTTAGAAATGTCTCAAGTGATCAGACTACTGAACAAAAATTGCTCTTAGAAACCATCCAGTTGTATGAGGAGAAAATATCTAATTTAGAGAAGCGTTTTGAAGATGAGCATGCTTGTCGTGAACATGCAGAGGAACAGATGGAATCATTGAAGAAACATCTCTGTGAAGAGAAATCAAATCAGGTAGGTCTTCTAATATATGAATTTATAATTTTACATAAACCTTGATTACAGTGGCTTTGATGATGTGTCGAATTGGCTACAAGCCTACAAGTACCAAATTTGGGGTGTATCTTAGAGTGTAACATGTAAATTTTTTTAACTTGAAGATAATGGGGAATTATGAGTTTCAAATATTATGATACAAGGAAAATATTATTTTTTTGGACAGTATTAAAGTGTAGTGTTGATGCATTTTTGTAGAGTATTAATTATCAGACACTAATTTTTTTTTGGATAGTATCATACACTAATAGTTGGGGTGAAATAAAATGTTGTAGTATAGAGTGGCTTTCCCCCATGTTTGCTTCTCCTCTCCTTCCTGAGTTTTTTTAACACACGTTTGGTAAATACCAGTTATTTTCTGTTATGAGACTTATGAATATGTTATTATCAGGTTTCTTTAACTCCACAATCTGACTTCCCAATTTTAAAAATGAAAGAAATATGGAAGATTGTGGGAATTACTACACTTTCTTTCTACTATAGTCTATAGGGAAAACTACTAACTTGTGATGTCTGAAAGGGCTACCTTGGTTGGATTTATCTTGTTTTCACCTAATCTGATAAGGCAAGTAAATCTTGCTTAATAATTAACCTTATATATCGCGGCCTTTAACCATTAACTAGTTTTTAGGCCCGGGCGATGCCCCGAGTTACTGCATTAATTCCATGATTGGAATCCATATTTATATTTAATTTTAATAGAATGACATATAATATGGTAATAGCTTAGTGGCTAACACTTTACTTTTAAAACTTAAGGTCGTGGGTTAAAACTTCAAATCTTGTACAAGCCATATTATTAAGCGCGTGAATGAAAGACTCGATTGATTGAGGATGGTGCCATGTGGCACCTAAACTTCTTTAGGAACGTCTTTTAATATATAGTATAGATGTTATTGCGCAAATTTCAAATAGAGGTAAAAACATGACACTGCCAAATAGTACATAAGTGCAATTTAGTTTATTTATTACTGACAGAAGTTATAAACTAAAAAACATGGTACAAAGAAAAGACATAGAAGCCTGAAATTTAAAGGTAGTAAAATTAATGGGCTGTTACATGTTTGTTTATGAACAAGTAATAGGGGAGTTGGTCCTCTTTTATACCGTCCCTACCCCTATAAAATTTCCACACTTTCTTTTTTAATTTTCCCAAACTATATGTAACTCACAATTCCATTTTAATCAAACTCTTTTGGCAGTCTTTTCAAATCTCTCCATCATATTAACCCGACTTTCGCTCCATCATAACAATTTGTTTACTTCATCTTGTCCCTCTGTCAACAACAAATTTTTATTGACATTTATAATTTACATCTATACTTTATATATGAGCCAAACCCGCTAAATAAAAAAATCAAATTAAATAAATAAATAAATTTGGAGGAACAGTTGGAGTAATAGAGTTGATACTTGAATATTAAAAATATTATTGCTGACTTTTTTTTAGTAAGTCCATGATAATTTCTTACAGGTATTTATAATCTATAAAAATAGCTAATAATTGTTGTAATTTCATCATAAATTTGTTTTCATGTATAGGATCAGGTGAAGAGCAAGATTAATGATTTGACAGAAAGATTGGAAGAAAAAGACCAGAGTTATCGAGATGCTGTTGATAAAATGCAGTGTCTGCAACTAGAAAATGCGAATTTGCTATCAGATAAGGTAGAACCCTCTAACTTCAATAAATCACTGTATTGTCTAGCCAATCTCAATGTCTCTCAACTTAGTGACAAGGTTTTGTCATCTGTATTTTAAGGAAAAGTTCAAGGATGAACTTGATACTTTAAAGGAGAAATTCTTGGTGGAGGAGAAGCAAAGGATGACACTTGAAGCCGAATTGGTCAAGTTAAAGAAATGTTTATCAGCAAATAGTGAAGGCATTGAGGTAACTTGAAGTTATAACACCCTTATATCTCTGATGCTGCACCTTCCTGGCATAGAATATGAAGGTTCCAGATTATTTTTGCTTTCAGGACAAGAAATCATATGCCAAACAGCACATGAAAGAATCATCATCATTCCGGTCAGCCATGGGTTTAAATAGGTCTATATCTGGCCAGAGGGCAACAATTGCCAAGATCTGTGAAGAAGGAAAGTTATTGTTTATTATTTGCATTTTTATTTTTTGTAAGTGTGAAAAGCATCTAGTTTTCATCCAAAACTTTTATTTCAAAGGTCCTGATTATATGTCCTTCTATCAGTTGGGCTTGAAAGGATACTAAAATTGTTATCATCTGAAGATATTGAAGTTCAAATGCATGCACTAAAGGTTGTAGCAAATCTTGCTGCTGAAGGTAATTTATTTATTTCTTAGCTATGCTCTGATGTGTTCAGTATACATTTCCTGTCTCTTAAATTTGCTTATGTTCGCTTTATTGAATGTCCTAAAATAGTGTTCTCTTACTTAAAACAGTTTAAAGGTGACTGCTTTTATCTTATTGAAATACTCTTGTTGTTTCCTTAAAAAGTGATTAATTTACACTTGTTTAATCAAAATCATACATTTTATAAAAATGTTGATGCATTTTGGGCAAGACTGGCATGCTAAAGTGATCCTCAATTGCGCATGCGCTTGTTCTTGTGTGTGTTTTTGGTCCACTCCCCAATTTCTCTCTTTATGAATGATAATACTGGGGATGTTTGCTTTAGTTATTTAGGGCCAAAAGAGAGGTTTTACAATTCCAAACCTATTGTGGGCATAGAATAAAAATGCGGTATCGTTCACGATCGCGGAAACGGTTGCGGTGTCCCGGTATCGGAAATGATGTGTTGATCGCGGACCGGGTTGCGATCATCGTGGTAGAATTTTTATTTTGGAGCTATCAAAGAAAAAATATTTTTAGGTAATTTATTTGAATTTTAAACAGATTTTTTCTTATTCAATATACTTAGATTATATTTATCATTAAATAAAAGTAGTATAGTACATAGTAATTAAACGGTAACAACTTTCAAGCAAAAAAATAGTAAAAAAAGAGGATGAGTGGTCAAAAAGTCGAAAATATTAAAGAAAACTAAAGTGGAGAGCATCCACACAGCTGTCCACCTACTTTTAATTAATAACAGGTGTCCCACTTAACAATTTACATCGTTCTTATCAGCCTCAAGCCCTCAGCTTTTCACTTTCTTCTTCTTCTCTCTCTCTCTCTATTTCTCTATCACGCGGTTGCTACATGCTAGAAACCATGGAGTCTGCCACAAAAATCCGACCACCACTCACGGATTCAAGCTTTTTTTGGGCATTTCAACGCTGTATCAGCCGTATCGGCAGAAAATGCGGGGTTTTTTAAAACCCTGTTATAAAGCGGTAAATCTCGTAACGGTAGGCTCCAAATCCATTATGTCTCGGCCGCATCGTGACGTAACGGCCGAGTTTTTATTCTATGATTGTGGGAGTGTCGAGTGTTTGATTGAGAGAGGATTATAAGAGTGGTTGTAGGAGAATTTTGGAAGTGAGGTTTATTAATGTAGTTGTGAAAATCTAGGATGCTGGGTATAGGTGTCGGACTTGGGTATAGGTCTAAGTGTTAGACTTGGAAAGCTATATAATTAAGGATCCAGGGACACGTTTCCATGGGAAAAAAACTCGGCCATTCCGTTATGTAACGTCCGCTTTGTAACGAGTTTCAGACTTGCAAAAAAAAGGCTGTTATATAACGCCAAATTGAAATTCACACCCAAATAGGCGAGTTTCGTAAATGTAGAACGTTGTTTTGGAAACCGTTAGATTCGCGAGTAATTGTTTTGGGCATGCTGAGATGCTCAGAACAACCTTCATCCCTATGAACTTGCCATGGTTATGGAGTGTTGTTAAAATTAGGTGTCTATAACAAAGCAATAATAAAACAAGAACAAAATAAGAGAAGGAAATTCGGTGTGGCGTGAATAATCACTGCCTTTGAAAACGAATTCCGGTGCAACCGGGGTGCTCAATTGTATTCACCGGATCGTTCCCTAAGGTTACACACCACTCTCACGCTAAGGCACTCTAGAATGAGAGGTGGAGCCTACGCAAACTTATGCCCAAAGAAGGAAAAATGTGTTTGGCTCAAAATGTGTTTAGCTCTTGTATATGTATGAGAGTATCTCAGAAAAACTCTGACTTCAAAATATATAGAAAAGCAAGAGGGAAAATGAACGATCAAAAGAAGGTGAAAGGATGGAAAATAATCAGCAATTAGAAGTTGCTTTAATCATCATAAACACCTCTTAAGTGAGGGGTTACAAATGGAAGAGGAAGAAGAAAGAGAATCCAAGGAGGGAAACCCAACAGCCGAATCTTGCGCCCTCTCTTGTGGAGCTTCGCCCGGGCGAGCATCAGCCAAAAGATTGGTTGCTCTTGCGCCTGCTCGGGCAAACTTCCTTCAATTTCCAAGCTCCCTCTCGCGCCCGGTCGGGCGACGGAACTTCGAATTTTACGACTCTTCTCGCACCCGGTCGCGCGAGCATTAGCCAAAAGATTGGCTGCTCTTACGCCTGGTCAAGGCCATTTGGATTCCTTCCTTTATTCCAACATGGAGAAGGAAGAAATTTGAGGGAGCGGGAGGTTAAAGAAGAAAGGAAGTAGGGGTGTTCAAAAATTGGTCCAGACCGAACCTGACCGGACTTGACCGATTTAACCGGCCCGGTAGGGAAAAAAAATTCGTTCCGATCCGGTCCAAAACCCTATAAAAACCGATCTTGGACCGGACCGGATTTTTGCTTAAAATTATGCATAAAACCTTAAATAATGATTAAGATTATCCGTAGAAAAATTTAATTGTACGAGCTTTTTTGTACTAATCATACATAAAAAAGGTGTTATAATATTGCTTTTCCTTTGTTTTTTTTTTTAGTTTTCCATAAAGTTATTAAAAATTTAGATTTTTTTTAAAAAAATTCTAAAATCGGTCCAAAGCGGTCCGATCCGGGTTTTGGACCGGTTTTTTCGGTCCGGTCCGGGTTCGGTCCCAGCTTAATCGATCTGGTCTTCGGTTCTTGAAATTTTAATTTTCGGTGTAGTCCAGGTTGATTCGGTCCAGTCTTGGACCGATGAACAACTCTAAAAGGAAGTAAAAAAACTATAGTCAAAAGAGTCACATGGTGCTTTACAGCTATATTCCACCTTTTCCCCCTTTTTACTGTTTTTTTTATTACCCTTTTTACTGTTGTGACAGTTGTTTCCATCACTTTTTTAACCCTTTATTTATTTCTCCGTTGTGGTGAGTTACTTACCTATTAAGCAGTCTTCTTTATTAATAAGTGTTATTGTCATACTTTTAGCATAATATGGTATAAGTACTAAGACAACGAGTAAAGAAGCTATTATTTGAATAAGGGGCTGTTTGGTTTGCACGGGGTAAACGGAATGAAGTCAACAAAGAGAATGAAAGAGAATGGATTGAAACCCTTTCCATGTACTATGTTGTTTGTTTTAAAAAAACAAAGGGAATCACCATCACCACCACACAACCTCTCTTTCCCATTTCTCCAGCCACTCCACCGTCAGCCACCACCTCATCGGGACTCCCCGCCTGGCATTGCACCTCCCCCACCCCTCGCCGCCCCTTCCCTTCCCGGAAATCATTTCCCCGCCCACGCAAATCTATCCTAGCGGCTAGATTTGTGAAGCGCGATAAGCCTTTAGCCCTCTTGGTCTAAATCCGATGTTCAGGACTTCATTGCCGGCGATCCTGTTCATGGCCCCGTCGTAATTCTCTCTATCATTTTAATTTCTGGGTCTGATTTTGGATCGATTTGCAATGATAGAGAGACAGCTAGGGTTTCGATGGTTTTGCGTGGGCAGGGTAGGTTTTCAGGGGAGGGGGAGGTGCGACGAGTTCCGGCGAGGAGAGGGGCAGGTGCAATGAGTTCCGGCACGGTGGCTGGGCGGTGGGGGTAACTGGGTAAGGTAGTGGGTATGGTGGCTTAGGAAAGGGAATGGAAAAGGCTAGGGGGTGGGGAATCATTGTGGAATGATTTTGGGTAAACTCAAAAATAAAAATGGGTAAAGGGAATGAAAAATGTGACAAACAAATAGCAACAAAGGGAATGAAACATGTTCATTCCCTTTCCCTTTGATTATTAACCTCAACCAAACGACCCCTAATTGTCTTCGTTTGGCATTGCTGTTTCTGTTTTTTGTTTTTCAAAATCATATGATATATGTCATATAATGAATCAAAAATTAGTCAAACTTATTAAAATCATGATAGTTTTGAAAACCGACAACTAAAAAGTGGAAACACCTTTTTTCTTGTTTCTTGTTTTGTTTTTTTGCTTAAAAAAAACATACTTTAAACAAAAAATGATGCCAAACATATGTGATTTTTGTGAAAAAATTCACACCATGAAATCTGCGATTTGTTTTATTTAACCTCTACAAACCGTTCCTGCGACGTGGTTGTTACCGCAAATGCGATCGCCCTGCACATTTCTAAAGAGTTTAATTTTTTGATATGGACTGGGGACATGGTAATGCATAAAAGCTAATTTAAAAATCTGTAGTTTAATAAAAAAAAATTTTAAAAAATCGTTTAATAGTTAAACTACAACTTTTTAAAGTTATGTGAGAAATATTAAAGGTAGTGGTTGAATAAATCCATCGACAAGCGTGTAAAATGAAATGCTTCATTTTAAAAGAACGGAAAAAGTATATGATATGGATTAGTTTTCTACTTGGTTATAATTTTTATCAAAAAAATACAAAGATGTTACCATTGTTTTTTCTACTAATGTTTAAAAATTCTTAATATCAAACCAAAATATTTCAATGTTAGTAACACATAGATAAGAAAACAAAGTTAGCAAATAGTTGGTACAAATGAGTGCTCATTTATGAGTTTGTTATTTGAATCAATTAAAGCTCATTGTTAGTAGTTTATAAGGCTAAAACTAATATATAATCCAAAGCATGCATTACATGAGTTTATAAAATAATTATAAGAAATTAGAAAAAAGTGAACTAAAATGAGATGATCTAATTGTTTATTTCTGATCTTCTCTAATATGATCTGATTTGGTCTATATTAACTAAAAAAAGGCAATTATTAGCTTTTATAAGTTCAATTGAATGCCATAGGACTCTTTACCTTCATCAATATACTTGCAGTAAATATTATCGATGGGAATCACAGAAAGCTAGAACTTGAAATAGGCTATGCCAAAGGGTCAACATTCGACATGCAAGGAAAGACCCAATAAGCATGGCTTAAAGACCAAATAATGAAATTAAAATATGTACAAGGAAGATAGGAGAAGTTTGCTAGTGGAGATGCATTACCCATTCTTAAGGGACATTCCATGAAAAGTAAAGCATTAATTTCAATTTTGTTCTAAATAATAATTTAATAAACTCATCCTCTTTAGATATTTAAAAAAAAAAATCACTTAAATATAGTATGTGAATATTAGATCCAGGTTTTGTTAACTCATGATGAAATGAATCCTTCATACTTGTTAATGAAGTTACTTGTTCTATCTTCTTATTAAATTACCTTTTTTTTTTTTTTTTTTTTTTTTTTTATTTACTCTTGACATATCTTCTATTTTATGTCAGATATTAACCAGGAGAAGATTGTGAATGAGGGAGGCCTGGATGCCCTGCTTATGTTATTGCAGACATCTCAAAATACCACTATTCTTAGAGTGGCTTCTGGTGCTGTTGCTAATTTGGCTATGAACGGTATCCTCTTTTACCTTTTCCTTCTAATTGCTATTTAGAGATCATAATTATTCATTGGAAGAGCGCATGTATCTTATTATAGATTTTCCTAAGATTGAATATGTGTTTTTTTTTTTTTTTTTTTTTTTTTTTTTTTTTTTTTTGTGACTTCAATGTTATCACCATTATCCTGAGGCAACAAAGAAGGGCTTGTTGGTTAATGTAACTGTGATATTTTCCCAAGGGAGGTGATTTTGGATTCTGAAATCAGTAAACTAAGCTCTAGGTTTTAGTAGTATGGACTTTTTTAGATGTCTCAGGTTTGGGTTCTAAACCAAATTCCGTTAGGTTGTCACTTTGCAAACAGCTTTGATTTATAATTGGAGAATATAAAGGCTCCAATTGGATGTGAACTTCTTACTGTAGATTTAATTGTGATGCAGATGGGAAGAATAAAATGAGTCATGATGTGGGAGGCTGAAGGAATTGCTGATGGAAGTCTTTGGGTGTTGCCTCAAATTAAGTCCTAAACCAATTTCCTATAGAATGCCACTTTGCAAACAGCTTTGTTTGATAATGGGGGAACAAAAAGGCTGCAATTGGACAACCACCTCTTAGTAGAGATTTAATTGTAATGCAGATGGGAATAATAAAATGAGTCATGATGAGGGAGGCTAGAGGAGGTGCCATCACTGACTGCTATTGTTACTAATGGTATTTTAATAGAAGTGGTTTCTTTTCTTCAATGAGTAACTAATTATGGTTTGAAGGTATAATAATTTAGGAGAGCTAGACCATACTAAGGCCCTGTTCTTTTCACCTTAGTTTTGCCGAACTGAAATTATTTTCACTGAAATGAATTTAATTTTACTTCGCTGAAATTATTTTTACAGATTCTCTATTATATTTCTTCTTTACAGTTACTGATTTACTGAACTGAACTTGTTTTTAACGAACTGAAATTATGTTTACAAAACTAAAATCATTTTTACTGAATATTATTTTTGAACGGTGAAGAGCAGGGCCTAAGTATATCAATTTTAGGAAGATAAGTATCTTATCTTCAGATAAATTATAGGAATTTGTTCAAGAGAAGGTTGTAGAGGCTGTTTCAGGCTGTTTGGTACAGGCAAACCAGCATTACTTAAGGATTTCTGTTCTATAATCTTTGCTTCCTTTACCCACTAGTATTCTCTAGATTCTACTCTTATGTTCAATCTCTTTGTAGCTGACTTAATCAACCTCTCTGTGAACTATTTTCTGTCTGTAAATCAGATCGTTAGAACTCATGATTGTTATGTTGCACAATCAATGAATGTCTCTAACATAGCCTTTGTGTGTGTTTTTTCTAAGATATATAAGGTGGAAGATTGACATTAGAAGAATAAGATGACCATGATGATCAATTGGAAACAACTGTGTAATTGAAGGTAGTGCCAGCAGTTTTGTGACTTGGAACTCCCAAAGCTAATTAACTAAAAAAAAACATTACAATTACTCTCTCCCTACTTTGCCCTATATACGAAAAAAATTCTTATTCCGTTCTCACTCTCTCCATCTTATTCTTAGCTTTTCCCTCAAGCTACCTCTAAAAGCATTATAATGCCATTCCCCATTGTATTCATCCCCTTTGCCTAATGCTTAGCATTTTGCTGCCTAGCTGGGTTTGTGTCATAAGAGGTTACAACTTACAACAGTACATTCTCGTACAGTACAAGTATTTATCTGTTTGATTAAAGTTGAATTCTAATAGATTATGATTCGAGATATTAGGGCTTCTGTCGGGTAGTATGCAGTTAATTAAGTGGTTCCTTTTTTACCATAGTTAATTTCTGGTCACCACTCTAGCTGTTTTCTTTCTGATGATGAGCGGCTGGATATGCTAGTCTTTTCTGGTAAAGTTTCTTCATAAGCTGCACGGGGATTTGGGCATCCCCCCTTATTTTGTTTTACTATGTGGGTGAGTTTAAGGCCTTTAAGTAATTCACATGAAACTCGTTTTTTCTTTGAAAATCCTGTCTTGCCACTTTCTGCACTTATGCTAGCTTATCTGCAGGGGTCCTATAAGTGGTGAAACCTTTAATGACTAATTATCTGCCATATTATCCTCCAAGTGCTCAAAAAGACAAAAACACTACCAAATGCTTCCAGTTACCAATGTAGCTGTAATGCAAGCCTCAGAGTCCATTCAAACTCAACTAATTTGCCAAGTTTTGTATATATAGATAAAAGAAAGTTACCATCGTGGAGATCATAAAACACACCATATAGTGATCCTTAATAATCCTTGAAGTCTAGCAGCTCTGCCATGCTTCTTAATATGTTGAGATTATTGAAGCCCACAAATGTCCTTAACGTTGGCCACAAAATTTTGAGGCTTTTGTGTTTAATGTTGTTTATTGAAGAAAACAAATAAATGCAAAGGGTAGTTTTGGAGTATGTAGATTGCAGGGTTGGTGGTTAACTATTATGAAAAAGAAGTTAGAAAGGCAGAATGCAGAAACTTTCAGGAATTAGGCTATCTATTAACTTTATTAGATGAATGGTTGTTAACATGCCTCTTGTTAAACACACTGGATACCGCTTTGAAAGAGGCAGGGCCATGCTTATTATTAGGGGATTTTTAAACATGGATGTGGCCTTTTGAGATGAGAATGAGACAAGAAGAATGTGGCCTGTGTTGTCTCACTTTTACCTCTGATACCTTTCAACTTGTCATCATGGACATCAAATTCATTAATATTGAATAGCTATTGATCATCTGGATTAAGGTCAAAAGAGGTTTGGTTATTCTTAATTTTTTTCAACTTAGGAGAACCTTCTGAATTGTCATCCTTCTTTCCTGCTAAAGTTGTATATTACTGATTGCTACCCTCATGATTCAAAGAGATGGAGTTACTTGGCTTTGTACTATCAAATCTATGATGAAGTGTCTTGTTTTGTATGCCAACTTTCTGCTATATATTACTCGAAAGTCGAAACATGGTGAATGTTTATTGCATTGCTTATTACGACATTGGCTGTGGTAATGTTGCTTGCTCCCATTAAGATAGATATTTTTGCTGCAATTTGTCGTGAGAAGGGAACATACAATTTTCTTCACCAAGAAACTAAAGATGTTATTGAACATGATTGCCCTACCATATCTTAATTAGTTTCATACGTTTAATTTTTTTTTTTCGTTCTTTCATAACCTTGCTCCAGCGATTAGTTTATATAATCTTACATTTAAACTCAAATATGATGTGCTTAAGTTTTCTTCAGAGACTAATCAAGGCTTGATAATGAGCAAGGGAGGTGCTCGTCTTTTGGCAGATACAACAACAAAAACAGATGATCCCCAAACTCTGCGAATGGTGGCTGGAGCAATTGCAAATTTATGTGGCAATGGTAAGCAGACATGACCACTTTCGATGACTTGCCATGAAGAAAATTTGTATCACCATTTTTCTTATACAAGTCTAGCATATATTTCATTTGTGCCTTTGGGAGTTGGCTCTTCCTACAATATTAGATGGGGAACATCTTTCCACTAAAACCCTTATAGAAGAAAGATGTGCCCTTGTCTTGTCAATAATAGTAGAAATATGGATTTTGTTCATGCTACCCATCTGCATGATTCTAATTACATACTATTATCATGAATTTGATGTCTTCATGATTTGGATATATTCCAGTTGCATTACATTCAGCACTCAAAGATAATGGAGGGATTAAGGCACTTTTGAGCATGGCTGGTTCTACAAATATTGATGTTGTTGCACAGGTAGCCAGGGGATTGGCCAACTTTGCCAAATGTGAAACACGAGAGGTTATACAGGGTATGTGAAGATTATCCATAATTTGGTAAATATATGATCCAATCATCTTCAGCAATTTTAAACATTGAAAGTATTTTCCCCTTCAGGTTATAGAACAAGTCGCTCACTTCTTATGGAAGATGGTGCGCTTACATGGTTGATTGTCAACTCAAAGACTGCCTCTGAATCAACTATTCGCCACATGGAACTTGCCCTTTGTCATTTAGCACAAAATGGTATGTTAATTTATTTCATCTGTAAAATTTGGCAATTTCTTTTGTTAATTTGCTTAAAAAAAAATATAGCAGTAAATTAATTTTTTTCTGAACTTATGCCCTGTTTGACTAGGGTGCTTTCTAGGTGTATAAAGGGATGGTGTTGTTTTGCTTTAGTATGTAGATCTGGCTTATTGGGTGGGCTGTTGTGGGCCGGTATCTGGGTGGATCGATTTGGGGCCTATCAAAATTATTAGCGGGCTGTGATGGCTATGTAACTTAGGGCTAGGGTAAAACATTGTCATTGAGCTGGGTCAAAAATTCTAATATCTTGCTGGTCAAAATTTTCTCATCTGTGAGGATTCTTCGAAAAATACCACTCCCTCCATCCCCAAATACATGTCTAAAACTCTCATTTTACCTATATCTATTCCTTCACCTACTTTTAATCAACCAAAGCCCTTTTTTATTTTTTTTATTTTTTATTTTTTTATTTATTTATCTTAAAAATGTGTAGAAAAGGCAAATGATGACCCTTTTATCACAAAATCCTATATTGGCCATATCCAAAGAGGTAAAAGGGTCAAAGCCCTTTCATACATAGTCTAACTTTATCACCAATGAACAGCAATGTCCTATAACCACCTCTAGCCATATATAATATATTATGCATCTCATGTCAAATAATCTGGATGGTTAATGTTTTAAATCTTTTTCTAGTTTTCTAATTTTCTCAGGTGTTCTTATTTATGATTCAAAGTCTAGTGTGGCTGGGGAGAATATTCAATTTGTTTTAGATATGTCATGGACATGTTTTCTTTTTTCTGGCTGGGTTTATCATAAATGATCTGTTTATTACCTTGATCTTACTTGTATTTGAATTTTAGATCATTCAACATAGATGGTTTTAGTATTAGTTGATTACTCAACATAAGCATATACTTTGTATTTTTGCACCCAATAAAATACGGAGTATAAGGCAAAAGTTGCATACCCAAACTTAATAGTGAATCACTCATATTGAGTTGATCATTTATTGGAATTGTGGTTTGCAATGATACACCTTAGTAGCGTTACCTTATACTTTTCGCACACCTTGAAATCTTGCTTGTAGAGCATAAATATAATTTTATTTTATTTTTTTTTAAAAAAAAAAATAAATAAATAAAAAAAATCGGGTGGACAAAACTTATTTTAAACTTGAAAATAACATGAGCTCTTTCCCAAATTAAGGTCAAGAAGAACCGCAATTCCCAAATTGCAGCCAAAGTTTTAAGAATTCCCAAAGTACCGTCCACGTCACCGGTTCAGGGGGAAGAAATTTTAAATCCGGTCTACAGCAAAACCGCTACCTGAAGTAGCGGTTTTTACTAATAAACCGCTACTTCAGGTAGCGGTTTCTTTTTAATAAACCGCTACTTCAAGTAGCGGTTTTTGTTTAATAAACCGCTACTTCAAGTAGCGGTTTTCTAGCAGGTATAATTTCCCGATTTCACTTTCCTCTTTCATTTTCGTCTTCTCACCAAAATCCCATCCACGCCTTCCACCAAAATCACACCTCCTTCAACGGAAGCCGGCGCAGCCAAGGAATCCAACCAAAACTCAATAACAACAACAATAAACAAGAACACTAACAACAACAACACAACCAAAACCGAAACTCAATAACAACAACAATAAACAAGAACACTAACAACAACAACACAACCAAAACCAACAACAACAACACATACATACAATTCTGAAACTCAATAACAACAACAAACTCAATAACAACAACAAACCCAATAACTGAATACAAAAATTAATTAGGGCACTTACCACAAACAAGAAGATCAGCACGTTTCTTCTGAAATTAGCGAAGCCGACCACTAAAGTCGAACCCTCGGCGTCAACAGCGGCGGCCTTCGTTGCTGAGGAATGCTCCGGCGGCGTCGGTGGATTCCTTGGCTGCGCCGGCTTCCGTTGAAGGAGGTGTGATTTTGGTGGAAGGCGTGGATGGGATTTTGGTGAGAAGACGAAAATGAAAGAGGAAAGTGAAATCGGGAAATTATACCTGCTAGAAAACCGCTACTTGAAGTAGCGGTTTATTAAACAAAAACCGCTACTTGAAGTAGCGGTTTATTAAAAAGAAACCGCTACCTGAAGTAGCGGTTTATTAGTAAAAACCGCTACTTCAGGTAGCGGTTTTGCTGTAGACCGGATTTAAAATTTCTTCCCCCTGAACCGGTGACGTGGACGGTACTTTGGGAATTCTTAAAACTTTGGCTGCAATTTGGGAATTGCGGTTCTTCTTGACCTTAATTTGGGAAAGAGCTCAAATAACATATGATGACCAAAAAAAACTTGTTGAATAAAAAACAGGTATTGAATTTCACTATTGTTCATTGTTTGATGTTTTTTACAACCAAGTGTAATTTTTAATCCTATGACATGCATTATTTTGTGAAGCAAGATCGGGGAGCACCAAGTTCTCTCCGAGTGTATAATATAGCGATTGATTTTGGTTCTGTCCAGCTAAATGTTATCTGTAAATTTACTAATTGTTGCAGAGGGTAACACACAAGACTTCATAGCAACTGGGGGATTGAAGGAGGTGATTCGAATATCGTCTGAATCTGCCAGAGAAGATATCCGCAATCTGGCTAAGAAGACCTTGAAATTGAATCGAATGTTTCAAGCACAAATGTCAGCTGACTAATAATATCAGGTGTAGAGTGTGGTGCTTCATCCTTAGGCTTTTACTTCATGTTTGTAAAATAGTGTATATTTTTCCTGATAAAGGTTTGCTAGTGATGGAATGTAAATTGTTCGATCAGTATGGATAACTCTAAACAGAAATAGCTTTTGTGTTGGTACTAAGGTATTAGCAGGAAATTCATTTCATTTTTAATTAACTTACCTAGTTTCTAGCCCCGGGCTATTACATGTATTATAATAATTGTTTTGTTAGCGGTATTTATAAACACATGTTTTTTTGTTTTGTTTTGGCTTCTTTTTTTTTTTTTTTTTTTTTTTTGCTGTTAAAGACACAGATCAAGACATAGTTCAATGGTTAAATTCTTACTTTATATTAATTAACCTTGAGGTCAAGGGTTCAATTCTTTTTTAATTATTGTGTAATAACATGGTATAATAGTCGATAAAAAAGTAGAGAGAAAGCCACGTGGCATGTAGATTTGATTCGAAATGCCTTGAAGAGTGCTTCATGGCATGTCGACTTGATTAGAAACGGCTTTTAATATATAGAGTATAGATTGGACTTGAAACACCTACCTACGGAGTAGAAAACATATACACTCTTTCTATCTTTTTTTTTATTCTACTCACTAATCATTTTAGGTCGTTCTTTTTTGTTCTGCCAACTTTGCTTTATTTTATGGGTAATGATATATATAGCCCTTAAATATACTAAGGCTATATATAAGCATTAAATATACTTTTTAAAATGGAATTAAGTTGGAAATTCATGACGAAATTATGCATAAATCGGTGTAATTAATGTTAGTTTATACTAAATAATTCCTTTTTTAAGCTTCTTATACATAGCCCTAAGTGCAATGTTTATCATTTTCCTTATTTTATTTATGGCATATTGGCATACCCTTTTTTATCATCTTCCCTATCTAAGCCCGCGATAATTACACCTTTCTATAATCTCTCTTAATTAACCTTTTTTTTTACACAAACCCACTTTTTTACATTCTCTCCATTACTTTTTTATTTATTTTTTTTTAATTTTTTTACGCGCTCCATTACTTTATCTTACATCCACTTATTTTCTTCAATAATTTTTTATATTATGTATCTACATTGAGTACAACGCAAAAGAACAAAGGTAGTACTATGTACTTTTAATTCCTTTTTACACACAATTATCGTGTTTGAAAGAAAAATTAATAGAGGAAGAGATAGGAGTTTGCTAAAAATCTCTCGCAAATTATTCAGAGAATTATGCTTAGATATATATCACTTTCTAATTTCTTTTTCTACATGAGAACACAACAAAGAAGTTGCATATCAGCACAAATACTATGATGCATTAGAATGTTGGCGCCAAATATGCTATAGGAACACTGCCCGCTACTAGTTCATTTAAAAACTGAAGATAGATGGGATGATATTTAGTTCTCATACGTGCCACTGGCCAAGCAAGTCATTAACATAAATACATTACTACAATTCTAAGTAAGAGAGCACATAAAGGATAAAGCCGGTCCAACCATCAAAACCACCAAATACCTAGCCTTTGTACTGGCTATAATTGAAATAAATCAGTAAGGCAAATGTATGATAATTAAACTAATAATACACACATTTCAAAACTTCTTCCCAGCTAAATCTTCAAGAGTCAGATTTAAGGAATTAATAGGACCCTTTTTCACCAATTCCTCACGGGCAGCAAGAAGGTCCTCAATGCTCCCTGGCTCTCCAAACCATCCAAGTCGATCTGCAATGAGATGAAGATTATCACATCCATCACAACGCACAACAACTACACCCTTCTCATATGATTCACGACAGCACGACTTCATTTGTCTTGTCTCACAAACTTTACATGTAAAAACCATGGCAAGATCATGTCGTGGGGATGTTTTCAATTTGCTCATCATATCTTTGTTCACTGTATTTTGAGCATCAGCCTTTAAGCCAGACGGCACTTCAGAACTGCAGCAACTAGACTCAGAGCTACTATCTGCAGCACTTTCTGTAAATAGTCTCCTTTTGGAGGTTCCTTCTGAATGCATCTGAAGCACTCTGGTCAAACTAGCATATTTTTCGCAGATTAAATTGGTCATAGGAAGAGGGTGACAAGATGCTCCTGTTAGAATGTATGAAAGAGACATGTAAGATTTCCTTGTAAAGTCATTTTCCAAGTTAATGCACATGACATCCTAGGAACACAAAATAAGACCATGTCAATCAGATTTCAAATTGCGCTACAAATTCAGCAAACCTGATCCAAATTCACAAACGTAACACAATGACAAGTCATGACACTGGCATCCCCCCCCCCCCCCTCTCTACTAAACATATAAAAGTCACAAAAAAGAGTAAAAATAACATAGCAAACAAGGGATAAGCGGAAGGGAGGAGGGTGGGGGGGATGGAGGGAAGAGGAAACATTGTCCCTTGCTTGGTTACGTGAGGAGAGGGAATGCAAATTTCTCTTCTTCATTGAAGTAGGTTATTACTTTTTATTTAACTTTACTTTTTTTTTTTGTTGTAATTTCAATTGTGTAAAAAAAAAAGAGAGAAAATCATATTTTAAGTAAATAACGCAAGAAAATGATAAGAATAAAGCAAATCAACCTCACTAAGCAGCAAGCCAAATATAATGAAATATTTTATACACACTCGGGTGTACCGTGCACCCAACTAACCCAAAGTTAGTTTTTGCTCTTCATTTGATGATTAAATAAAAAAGTCATCAAAATGAGAACAAAATGCTCATAGGTGTACCGTGCACCCGGGTGTATATAACAATCTCTCCAATATACAAGTGAGTGTGAATTAATCAAGGACTCGAGGAGGGAGATGGAAATTAGGGAAAATCCCTTTAATTGGGTAAAATTTTCCATCCATAGGATCAAGGGAGAGGAGAGAGCAGAATAGGGAGGAGAGAGTAAATTTGACCACATAAAGAGAGGAAAGAGAAGGTTGGGTAGATGTCATGAGCGAGACTGTTATCATTTACTTAAAATTATGAATTATTATCCAATTTTCTTTCCAAATCATTCCAATTTTAAACATTGGTACATTAAAAAAATGAAGGGTCATAGACCTCTCTTAACCCCCCCCCCCCCCCCCCTCTTTTTATTTGCCTCCTTGTACCAGAAGTCATTGATATATCATGAAAATAGAGGTTTAATTTCTAACAATTTGTATAGCAAAAGAAAAACAATTAAAGAAGTAACATTCTTTTTCTTTTTTTTTCTATAGAAAATCAAAACAGAAATTTTATTAATCATCAAATAGATAAATAGATAAAGGAAAAAAATTCTCAAGTACAAAATAACAAAGAAGCTACAAAAATCCATCTCCCCGCCTTCTACGAAAGGTTGAAGAGGAAAACCTAGAACAAATAGAGACACCTACAAAACCAAAGCACTCATAGAATTACATGATTAGCAACGGCCTTAGACTTTCACTACAGCAACAAGAAACTCCAAAACTAATTCCCCTAAATACATAAAAAGGATCAGTGCCTTGATTCCTAAAAATAACAGCATTCCTCTCAAACCAAATTTGATATGACAGCAATCCTGTGCAACATTTCCATGTACAGAAATGCTCAATATTTTTTTTTATTCTAAACCATTATATATGTGAAGAATGGGCAGGTTCCGATTAGTACATACCGCCTGATATAGCATTTTCAGGTTCGTAAAATAAAAAAATTACCAAACTCAGCCACTATGATTTAATATAGGATCAACATTCACAAGTCCCCACATTCCCTAACCCCCAAAGAAACAAAAGAATTATAAGGGAAAGCATTATGGGAAAAAAAAAAAAAAAAAAAAAAGGGTAGCAGTAGACCCTACAGTTGGGACTTGTTCCCATCTTTGTAAAAGTACAACAACTGACAAAAGTTTAAACGCCAAGTAGCTCTGATGCAAAACAATCATGCTTCTTTCTTTTGCAATTGACCCAATATTGCATTGAAATCCCTTTTAAAAGAAATATAGCTCAACAAGAAATTAAATTTAGTCGAGCACATCTGGTAGCACCAGGCTTTCCCCCATAGAATTTGACAAGAAATTTGCCTATATACTCCAAATCTCCCTTTAAAAAAGAAGCCTTTTAACCAGTGCGTTGTTAAATAAAAATACAAAATACACCACTATTTCACATTTAATATGATCATATCTTAGATACATTCAAAAACCCCTAAGAGTATAAAACTCAAAAGGGCAAGAAGATTGACAAACATCAACTTCTTTTGCTAAGACAATTTAAATAGTGATGCAAACTCGCCAAAGACACGAACTGTCAAACATAAGATACTTAAGATAAGTTTAAATTCTCCCACCTCTGACTTTCTTTCCTGTTTCCTACCATAAATACTTCTTATTTCTTTTGTTCCTAAAGAGGTAGCCTATTAAATTTTACCTGCTTTAATAGTTATCTCTGTTGTATGGTTATGTATTTTTCACTCACATTTTAATGACTTAATTAAACGAAACAAGCTCAAATGTATGAGTAAATGGATCTAGGTAACTTAGGTAGATTAGTTTAAAGAATTTTCAGCAAAAATAGGTTCATTAATTGGCCTAGATAGCTATTTATAGGGTGCTTGAATATGAACATTTCTTGGTCACTACAAGATTCTACTCTTATACCAACCGGATAAAATCAAGGATTGGTGTAACTCTAGTCCTATATGCATAGCATGGTGGCTCTTTCAATCAAACTTAAAAATCCTTCAACATGGCTACTCCTACAAACTAGTAGATTTGCAAGCATTCATCTATAATAATTCTGTTGAGTCTAATTTGTAAATAAACCCTTTTTTGTTTTCCAAAACTCTTCTTTCCTTGTTTTTGTGCTTCCATTATGTCATTTTGTTGGCTAAACTCTTAGGAAACCCCCATGAAAGCATACTTCTCCTTTATAGTGATCTAAGGGTTTAAATGGCTTGTGAGTTAGTGTATATTCTTTGTTTCAAATCTTACATCTATACTTTTCCCCTCATTCCTCTCTTTCACCCTTGCTTCAATTAAACCCTTTCCTTTTCCCTTTCTTTCATGGTCATTTATCGTCCTTTCCCTATTAATTTTAGGTCGTGAAAAGTTAAATGAGCGACATAATGTCACTCATTAGCTAGTGAGACAGTAGGTTTTAGGATCGTTTTAGGTATTTTTTCCTTTATTTTTTCGCATGTTTTAATTCATCTTTTACTTCTCCAATCTCTCTAGAAAAACATTTCATGCCCCTATTCTTGCTTTTGCCTATTAGCTTCGGCTATGATGGTTTTAAATGGCTTTAGGGCATGTGATGAAGGATTCATCAAGCTCAAAGCAAGGATATATCAAAGAAAAATGCAGATATTCAGCTTAGAACAGTTTGCCCAGCAAATTAGGCAGCAGTCCAAGCAGGAGTTCACCCAAGAAATTCATCAAAAATTGTAGCTTTGAAGTTATTGGAAAACCAGGAAGGTCCGGAAACCTACCCTAGGTTCGCCAAGACTTTCATGCCAAGTTTGCCTGAACATACCCGCGATTCAGTTTGTCTGGATCATCTAATTCTGTGATTTACTATTTCAGGGTTGAGGCCCTCTTGTAATGAACACTTTTTCAATATCATTAGTTTAAAGGTTAGCTTTATTAGAGACAGAAAGACACATTATTAGATTACATTTAATAATCCTTGTAATCAACTTTGAAGATTCAATCCACCAACTTTATTATTATTTCTTAGTCCATTATGTTAATCTTCTTTATTGCTCGATTCTTTTCTTTTTATTTTAATTGTTTTCTTATTAATGATTGCTTATTCTTTGATGATGGAATGATTGAATTTTTTATTTTATTTTTACTTTAGTTAAGATAATGCATTGTGAGTGGTGTTTTGGTTAGGGGTAGGGTTATGGGTTAATAAATTTTGTATGAGATTATGGGTTATGCTTAATAATATTAATTAAATTATTCCTTAGCTCTCTTCTTATACTCATTGCATTCAAGTGGCCATTTGCAAGTAATTAGTTGTTAGGAGTTTATGTGTAATGCATAGGGAATTTGTCTAGGTATTGAGAAATCATTAGGACTAATTTAGAGGCTAATGATATGCATATGTAGTACTTGAGTTTAGCTTGTGTTCTCCTTATCCCATACTTGATTAATTATCCTTGAACCCTATTATACCCCTAGTGTCTTGTTATTGAATAAAATTAGAGATTTTAGATTTAGTTTATACCTTTGTTTTAGTCAATATAGTTAATTTTAATCAACAAATTACCTACTTTTTGATTGAACTAACATAATTATATGCAAGTAAGAGTAGTATCATTTATTGTCCGTCCTCGAGGAATTCAACCCTATTCGCCACCATACTTGGTACAGTTGGTAAATTTAGGATCAATTTGATAGAGAGTTAGCCGAGGATCCGAAAATCTGATAATCTGATCCGCAACCGATCCGAATTTTTGGATATCCGATCCGAAAAAGTGGATATCAGATGAGGATTTGGATAATAATTTCAAAATTTCGGATTGTACATATAAAACTGACCCTGAATTATTAACTTATTATAATATTCTTAATATATTTGATGATAATTTTTATTGCAAAAAGACTACTATTTTGTTAAAATATGTTGTACAACTTAGCGATAAAAAAGCGGTAAAATTAGTGAAATTTAGAAAGTAATCATAATCAATTTTACTTAAAATTGGATAATGGATATCCGAAAGTCTCGGATCGGATTTGGATATCAGTTTCTGATATCCGAGTATTCGGATATCCAATCCGTGAACAGCCTAGCCACGAGCCCACGACACTAATTTCTCGCATCAATAACAAATTGAGGTCAAACTATATGTCAAAGGAAAAGACCCAAAGCATATTTTTTAAGACAATGCACTTGCTTTCTTTTGGAATTGACCCAAAACACTATTTTCTCTCTTCAACCACACCCTTTGCTTTCTCTTTCTTGAATTTTCTACCCTATTTTCCCAGCCAAGCACTACACCATTCTTCGACCACTTATGCACTACACCATTCTTCGACCACTTCTGGTTATCAGATTGGCATGAGAACATTACCATGGAAACGCCCTCTCTATAGCGACAAAAAACCCTAACATTTAGAACCTTATTCTCTTAAATTGATCTATTAATTTCCAGAACTAGGGTTTCACTAAGCTTGTCATACCCAATGACAACATGGTGTGTCCGGGCCATATTCCATACCAGTTTCCATGTTAGTCGTATCGACCCGGGTATGATGGCATTTTTGCCGCGTTCGAAAAACACAAACTATATAGCGCTCTCAAAGGCATCAATCAAATTAAACAAAAGTTATTAAAAAGAAGAATTACACCAAAATCAAAACTAAGTAGAATAAGCTATGTATATATGAGATAAAGCAAGGTAACCAATCAAACTTTCAGCATGAATTTCCTACCCCAGTTTCCCATAATTTTAAATGTTCTTTTTACTTGGACGCTTCAGTTCATGCTGAGTACCTGATCCTTTACACTCTTGCATACCACATACGCATAGATATGGACACTAGACATTTCATTTTGGACCAAAATCATTCAAATTAGTTGAACCACATTTAGACACAAACCCATCTCCAAAATTCGTAGCCGGGTCAGAGTAACATAGGCAATCCACCCAAAGAAACCACTAAAAATATTAATAAATTAATAATTCTCACTAGACTAGACTAATTTTCATTTTTCATCATTCAATTAATACCTAAGGTAATCAGATAAGGAAAAATAAAACAAAAATAAAGTATTCAACAGACACTCAAGTTCAAAACAAATTTTAATCAAACTTTGCACAATATACTAATTGTACTCTCAGCTAATTAGAACTTAAGTCAGATAATATGAATACAACTACTAAACAATGGTAAACAAATCAACAAAGCTTTAAAAGTTGAGAACTTTGAGCAATTAAATTAAAGCCAAATATGGGTACAATTCGAACAAAACAATGTAATACAAAGTGATAAATCGAATCAAAAAAATCAAATGGGAATAAATTTAATTTCAGAGTAATTGCAAAATGAAGCTGATACAAAAAAATGAACAAGGAGAGAAAGAGAACTTACGGGGTTGGGATGTGAGGAGACGCCACCAAGAACCGCTGCTTGTGATTGCCTTCTTCATGGTTGCTTTGCTGCTTTCGACTTTGGCTTTTCGCCTTTCAACTAGACCTGTTCAACGGGCCGGGCCGGGATTTACATGAAATGGGCAGGCAGGGCCAAGCCAAGCCTAATCCGAAATGGGCCGAGCTTGTTAATGGGCCATTAAGCCCGGCCCGGCCCAGCCCATTTAAAATGTATAAACAAACACAATATAAGAGAATTATAAAGGGTCTTTCAGGGGCCTTATAAAGGACTTTAGAAATAAAATTACAAAGCAAATATATTGGTATTGTAAAACTCTGGAAAAGTACAGGATAAATCTCGGACAATAAAATTTGAAATTCAACACATTGTATTATGAAAATAGTTCATATCACCTACTATAGTACTATGAGAGTTATAACTATGCAAATATGCTAATCCTTTTGCAGCTCCAAGGGCAATCCTCAGTCTTACAAGCCTTTCCATGGTAGGTTGCCCTTTACCTGTAATTAGACCATTTAAATTTCATTTAAATCAATGCCAATCACTAATTATAAGCATAAGAGCCAAAATTAGTATTATACTATGTTGGCAGTAAGTGCATTTCAAGAGAGACAATGCAGACACATATAAAAGCAAAGAACTAAAGGCAATAAGCTTACAATGAAGATGGAACTCCATGGTATTGATTTATACCAAAAAAAACAGCAAGATTAAAATAATAAGAGTAGAAAAATTAAAACAATTACCTAGTATAGGAAACTATCATCAACCTCCTCATCATCATCTCCATCATCAACGGTCTCATCATCATTCGAGCTAGAATCACGATCCAAATTTGAAGGGATGTTATATTCATCATGGCGCCAATTTTGAACACAAACTAGGGCTTGAGCTGTTGAGGGTTTCAATGAGCTACGATTAGGAGATATAGTTTTCCCCCCTACACTAAAAGCCGACTATGAAGCCACCGTACTAACCGGAATCGTTAGAAGATCTCGTGCCAATATTGCAAGCTCCGGAAATCTCACTACATTTTGTTGCCAATACTCTAGAATATCTAGCTCCATGTTCAAATCAAGCTCCGATTCCTCCAAATATGACTCAAGTTGGGACTTTTTTGTTTGAATCCTTGTAATTCTTGAACTATAGCTTTGATAATCATCAAAGAAGTTTTCATCTTCAACCCTACTACTTGTAGTAGAGGGAGCAACAATTGGGGAAGTTGAAAATGTTGACTTATACTCATTATACAAATATCTTAAAGTGTTCTACACTTTTTCAACTTCATACATAGCCTCATCCAAACCATATATCGTGTCAAAACAATACTTCACAAACTTTAACTTAAACCTTGGGTCAAGAATTGCCGCACTAGCTAGATATATGTTATACTCAGACCAATATTTATCAAAATTTTCCAACATATGTAACACCATTTGAGCTAAAAATTCATGTGGACCTTTAGATGTCTCAAGTAAACGACGATGCACCATACATGCTCCCTTAAAATACATGTTAGAATTTGGAGACTTATTGGCCGAGAACATACATGTAACATCATAAAAGAATTTCAAAAACTTGTGAACAACACTCAATTTATCCCATTCATCCACCAAAGGCACATTACTCTTGAAAGATGCATGTAATGACTCCAAATGAATAAACACATCTTTATAGTAAAGCACATTATCAAGCATCATATATGTAGAGTTCCAACGAACTTGCATGTCCATACAAAGTTTCCTCTTAGCCTCTAAATGAAAATGCTTTTGAGCAGTATCATAAAAATCCTTGCTTCTAGAAGATGATCTTATAACAAATTTTACCAAGTTTTTAATCCTATCTAATATGTTCTCAATACAAGATATACCAGATTGGACAATAAGATTGATGATATGAGCACAACATCTAATATGAAAAAAAAACAACCACCACTAACAAACATTCCCCTTGATCTAAGACGATTTTTCATGTGCTTAACCATCACATCATTGCAACTTGCATTGTTAACCGTTAAGCTAAGCACTTTGTCATCTAAATGCCATTGGTTAAGAAACATAAAAATCTCTTTGGAGATGCTTTGTCCATCAAAAAGGGGTGACAATGATGTGAACTTAATGATCCTTTTATGAAGTTTCCAATCATGATCAATAAAATGGCGGTTATGCAAGTGTAATGTTGCCAAGTGTGTGATGATTTCCAATTATCAGTTGTCAAACATATTCGTCTGAGTGCACTCCTCAATTTTTTTTTAAAATTTCTCTCTATAAGAGACATACAAAGAAAAATTAGACTTTAACATCATCCACCTTAAACTTTTTCTTCCACGGTCGAAAAAGAATGAGAACGTTCAACAACATACAATAGAATCTCCTTTCTTAATTCACTCATATCAAAAAAAAATTCTTCCTCATCATCAACCGCCTCCCCAAGTGGAAGTCCATTAGTTCTTTTTTACACACTTCAAGCAAATTACGTATTAAATGAGATGTGCCACTATTTTTGTGGGCAATTAACTCCACTTTACAATGCTTACAAATAGCAATTCGCTCACCTTTTGCATGTTTTCCTTCCGTCATTTCTTACCAAACTTTAAATTTCCTACTTCTTTTACGCTTACGGGCGGCATTAGATTCATCAACCTCATCATCTACCGGCATTAACGTTGTAGTTTCTTCACTTTCCATGGTTAAAAAAAACTGCAAAAGTAGGTAAATAATAATTATTAACCCACTGCAGCAGAAGCAGAACAAAAACAGTAGAATTAGAAAGCAATCTTTCAGATGATCATCCAATCACATTCACTAAAGTACCAGAGATAAGCAAGGGAAGCATTTCCACATAACATTTCCATCTCCCACAACCAAGATTAATGTAATCAGCAAACACACAAAGTTTAATTGCTTAATTTCAATCAACAATTCGAACTACATCTGAACAACAACAATAAGTGGAATGCAACGAAGATCTATTCATTATTACTCCATTATTACAATCAAGTCATATTAGTATACGATTTCACATCAGAATTTCAGATTACAACTTCAAAAAGATTAATAAAATTCGTGAAAGCATACTATTAAAATCAAGCAATTACAATTTCACGAATTTAAATCCCAATTTTTAAACAAAAGCAGTCACTGGGTTTTGCTTTCACGAATTAAACAATCTTAATTCCAAATGAAAATTTCAAATAACAATCAAAATAATTAAAAGAAATGGGGCAAAACACAAAAACTACCAAACAAATCGCTAAGTGCAACCAAATTCGTGTAAGCAAACTGAATTAAGAACAAACTTACCGATGATGGAGTGAGAATTCTCAGCCAATCGACAAAATCGAAGCCGAAAGTGTCACTTGACTTGTGAGATTTTGCATTTGCGAGCAAGAAGAAGGGTAATAAATTGAAGATTGACGCGAGTAGATTTTTTTAGGGTTTAGAATTTGGATATTTTTTTTAAGGGTTCATAATTTGGAGGAAATTGAGAATTTTATTTTCAAGGTATTATAATTTGATGTTAAGAAGTTTTAGAAATTAAAAAATTAGGATAAAAAAACCTCATAAGTGTTACCCAATTTCAGCCCTTTTTAACTTAGACCCAACCCTTTAAAAGCCCATAATTTAATAACCCTGTAAAAGCCCGCCCCATTCCTTCTTATTGGATGGATAAAACTCTTTTATAAAAGGGCTGGGTCAGGGCTTTAAATGGGCCCCTAACCCATTAAACAGGTCTACTTTCAACACAAAAATAGGAGTATAAACTAAATATATTAGAGGAAATCTTTATCACCAAGATAAACTTGCAAGTGGCAATAATGTAATAAAATGCCTTGGAATTCTGAATTGTGAATAAACAAATATTATTCGTGTGGGGTAGGTCTGCTAATTACTTCTCCCTCCGTTTCATAATGTTAGTCCCATATGGAATCAATCACATAAAATAAGAAAAGAAGAATATTTGGAATCTAACATTAAAGTACTAAATAATTCATAATTAGTTTACCTTATTTAAGTTTTTTGATTTTTTTGGAAAGCATAAGTCATAGTTGCATAATTCAAGGTAGAGATTTCCTTACTTAAAGTCATGTCATCAATCCACAACCAATTAATTCCAAAAAAAATTAAGTTAAAATTGGAACATATTCAATATGGGTAGATCTTTTTGAAACGCCCAAAATAATATATGGGACTAACATTATGAAACGCAGGGAGTACTAACTTTAAAAAAAATAGTTGTCAAAGTAAGTTAGGATGTGAACTAAAATTGTATTTCCTCCGCCCACAATTATGTGCAACAAAGAGGTATTATTTATGAGATATAAAATATTCCTTTGTTGCACATAATTGTGGACGGAGGAAGCATAACGTCGTCACTCCAATTAGATAGTTAACTCACCCAAGTTAACTTGGGTAAATTTTTTGTAGTAGATACTTTTTAAATTTGTGTTTCGTTGTTGATGAGATGATGGAGGTCCAACGCTCAGGTGGTCGATTTATCAATAATGCTGTCAAGTTCTCAAGCGGCGCTGCGTCTATTTTTTCCTGAGTTGGTTATATTCATTTTCCATTGTTGTTGAGGTACTTTGTACTTTATTACTCCCTCCGTCTCTTATTTACATGCCTACTTCCCATTTTATACGGGAATTAAAGAACTTAAAAGCCATGATTGAGAAGTACAAATATGCATATGGGGTTAGAGAGAGATAGAGAGATAGAGAGAAAGAAAAGGTAGTTGGTAATTATTGAAGAGATGGAAAGAGAAAGTGTTGGAAAATGAGAGTGATTTCCATGAATATTGTTAAAAGAAATCAAAATTCCACAATTACACTACATTTTATAAAAATTCCTTACATACTGTCCACGTCATCTATCTTTTTTATTTATTTATTATTTTAATTTTTGTGTAGAACAAACTACTAATTCAATTAGCGGTTTATTTGAGTAAAAAAATCACCTTACAAAAAATTTTGGGTTTAATATCGTAAAACCGCTAATTCAATTACCGGTTATGCTCTTAACTAGGGAAAAAAAAATCATATTTTTAGAGGTTGGATGACGTGGACGCTATGTAGGGAATTTTGATAAAAAGTGGAGCAATTAAGG